TGTGGGCCCAATAATTTAGGAGGTTCTGCCACATAGCGGCCCTGCTCCGATCGATCTAGATGGCGGTGATGCAGGGGCGGCGATGATGACGACAGGGACGGCGGTGGCCTCCAACACCAACAGCACAGATGGTAACGGTACTCCAACCTCTTCTTCTGTGGGTAAGCGCAAGTCTGTTGTCTGGGCTAATTTTGAGGAGATCTATGAGGAGGTGAATGGTAACAAGATTCGAACTACTGCTATCTGTAGAATGTGTAAGGCTGTTTTGAGTGCTAGATCTGCTGCTGGTACTGGTCATTTGATTAGGCACCAAAAATCTTGTAGGAAAAAGGTTGATCATGTTGCTAGGGTTCAGTCCAGGCTTATTTTTAATCCTGATGGTTCTGTGCATAACTGGAACTATAATCCTGCTGTGGCTCGATCTGAGTTGTGCCGGTTGATTGCTAGGCTTGACCTTCCATTAGGTATAGGTGAGACAGAGGCCTTCGAGGACTATATTGTCCATGCTCATAACCCTAGGTTTGTTAAGTCTTCTAGAAGGACCACCACTAGAGATCTTGGTAAGTTGTTTAATGAACGTTATGATGTGCTTAAGAATTCTATGTTGTCTGTTGCTTCATCTGTTGCTTTAACTTCAGACATTTGGTCTGGTAATGCTAAGGAGGACTATATTAGTGTTGTTGCTCACTATGTGAATGTTGATTGGAAGTTACAGAAAAAGGTTATTGGTCTTAGGTTGATTGAAGTAAAACATTCTGGTGAAAACATTGCTGAAAGAGTTGCTGCTATGGTTGAGGAGTTTGGTCTGATTGATAAGATTTTTGCTATCACTTTAGATAATGCTTCTTCTAATGCTAAGGCTACGAAAACTTTGACATCCATGTTTGCTGGTTATTTGGGTTCTGATCCTTCACCTAAGCCTTTAGATCCTAATAAATGTAAGTATACTCTTGTGCATCAACGCTGTGGTTGTCATATAATTAATCTAATTGTTAAATCTGGACTAAAGAGGTTGAAACCTTACCTAGAAGATTTTAGAACTGTAATTAATTTCTTGAATTCCTCTAATCAAAGAATTGCTATGTTCAAGAACTACTGTAATGCTAAGGGTGTTAGACCTAGAAAGTTTGGCTTGGATATAGATGTTAGATAGAATGCTACTTATCTTATGCTGAAACACTTGGTTCCATATAGTGTAGTTTTTTCTGTGTTCATTAATTCAAATTATGGATCTGCATTGTTGTCTCCAAATCACTAGTATGTTGCTGAGAAGATATTGGAGTTCCTGGAACTCTTTTATGACTACACTGTTGTTTTATCTGGTGTTTATTATCCCACCAGTCCACTTGTACTGCACCATGTTTTGGAGATTGTATCTCATTTGCATGCTGCTGAAAGAGACTAGAATCTTAGACAAATTGTGTATCCTATGAAGCTTAAATTCCTTAAATACTGGCATGACATACCTCTGCTATACTCATATGCATTCATTCTTGATCCTAGAGCTAACATTAGAGGTTTCCATAGGGTTCTCCAATTACTTGCTGAAAGCACTGGTACTCAGTACAATTCATACTATGCTGATGTGAAAACTGAATTAGATAAATTATTTAACAAATATGAGAGGAAATTTGGTGCAGCTAGGTCTCAAAGGGTTATACAGCCTTCAAACCATATAGGTAAGAGAAAATAGGCTTGGGGAAGAATCTTTGGAGGAGCGGTGTTGCTGGTCCTTCCCCTGCCACCACTTCATCTTCTTCTACCTCTGCTGCATCTGAACTCTCAGTCTATTTAGACATTGACAATGCCACTTCTTATGAGGATGATTTTGACATACTTCTTTGGTGGCGTGATCACAAACTAACCTATCCAATCCTATCTATAATGGCAAAAGATATTATGTCAGTTACTATGCCTACTTGTTCTTTAGAATCTTGTTTCAGCTTATCAGGAAAGATCATTGAAGAACAACGCCGACACTTGTTACCTGGAACTGTTGAGATGCTGACCTGCTTGAAGGACTGGGAGTTAGGAGAAAAGAGGGAACAACATATAGCTGCTGATAACAAAGAGCTTGAAGAAGCATTCAAGAATTTATATCTTGATTAAGATGAAGGTGGAGCTGTTGTTGCTGGTGACTAAGAGTAAGACTGAGAGTGGACTCGATGATGATGAAGATGGAGCTGTTGCTGGTGGTGACTGAGAGTGGACTTGAATACTCGATGAAGATGAAGATGAAGGTGGAGTTGCTGCTGTTGTGCTTTTGTGTGAGTTGAGAGTGGACTTATCACTCACTCACTTGTGTGAGTTTTACCTAGAAAGGTTTTTAATGAGGCAGCATTGCACAAACAACTCATTCTGTTATCTAAGTTTCTGTTATCGATGTTGTTCTGTCATTCTTGTGAGTTGATACTTGTTATCTATGTCGAATTGTCGATGTCGTTCTGTCATTCTTGTAAGTTCATAAGTATGGAAGTGAAACTGTGACTTCAAAAGTTACTGTGATCTTTTCTTACTTGATTGCCAAAGTGTGAAAATGTTTGAGCCTTTGAGGAGATGTGTTCTTTGAGGTGTTTCATGTGAACCGGGCTGTGGGCTGGCACGGCCCGCAAATTTTGGCGTGCCTGGCGGGCTGGCCTGGCACGAAAAAAGACCCATAGGGCCATGCCTGGGCCGAAGATCAGGCCCACGTGCCTGTTAGGCACGGCTCGCAGGGCACGACGTGCCTACTCGGCCCGAACCCCATCGGGCCGTGCCGGCCCGTTATCGTGCCAATCGGGCCGGGCCGTTGCCCATCTATACCCACTGGACAACCATCAGTGCTTAACCCCCAACACCTGTAAGATGCTCGTGTCCATTTAGGATACTCGTCCTCCCCATTTTATGTCACTTTGGTTTTAAAATTAATATTTGTGATCCTAAACCAATTCAAATGAAAAAGTTGTCAATTAAAAAGTTTTATAACTTTTCAAGATCTCCAACTTTGGTGTTGGTCATTTCTCCATTCGAGGTCATTTGAAGAATTTGAATTTCAAATATGAGAAAATTCAACCATGACTTTCCTTGATAGATGATTTCAAATGAAAAAGTTGTCAACTACAAAGTTGCACAACCTTTTGAGATCTACAACTTCAGTTTTGGACGTTTCTCTATTTGAGATCGTTTAAAAAATTTGACTTTTAAATTTAAGAAATCAGACGTAATTTTCATTAGATAGATGATTTCAAATGTAAAAGTTGTCAACTACAAAGTTGCATAACTTTTTGAGATCTACAACTTTTGTTTTGATCACTTCTCACTTATGACTATGGAACATATGGCTTTAGTTGGTATTAACTTTTCTGAAATCTTGTGAATCAAATAGAGGGACGTCATAACGACTTCAAATAAAAAACTTGTGAAGTACAAAATTGCATAACTTTTCGATATCTATAACTTTTTTTGATCGCTTCTCCATCCAAGATCCTTAACTACCACTACACACTCACTTGTGACTATAAAGCATATGGACTCCTTTGATATTAACTCTATAAAATCTTGTTGTGTATATTTGAACATTCAAATGATCTCAAATCAAAAAGTGTAAACTATAAAGTTGTAGATCTCATCGAGTACTACAACTTTGATATAAAGTTCGTCTTCATCGGACATCATATGAGAGAGTTATAAAGTTTTTCGTGTAGCATATCACTATCGGTTCAAGCTACGAACCGACAGTGATGACCCAATATCACTGCCGGTTCTTGTCTAAAATCGACAGTGATGACTCGAATATCAGTGTCGGTTGGTCTATCGCCGCCAGTTTTAGCCATAAATCGGTAGTGATGGCCCGGCAGTAAAAGTCAGTTCTGTAGCAGGGTACTGTTCACAACTGTTCAAAGAAACCAAGATCAAATCGCTTAAGAAGGAACCATCACAAATTCACAAGTATGAGTAGATGTTACCACTGCTTTGACGTCAATCTGACATAGGCAAAGCGGGAGGAGAAGAAGGTCCACAATTATGAACAAAAAAGCACAGGGATTTGTTGTGACTGAGGACCTAGTATTTTCATATCGCGGACACGGAAATTTGACTTTGCCAGGATTCTCGTCGGTGTAGATCGACAAAATGTACAATGCTCATGGAGTACTAAACAACTCGCCGCCTAATCTGCCTTAGGGCCTGTTTGGTTAAGAGAGTAGAGACAATGTCCATGAAACCAAACAGGCCCTTAGACTGTTTAATCGAAGAATAAATAAGGTAATGAATGGAGAGGCTGACTTTCTAGCATTGATTGACTGCTTGTTGGCCTTGTTGGTTGCTAGAAGATGGAACAGTCGGCGGAGGCCGGAGGGAGGTGGTGCAAATTGATGAATGCTGGAATGGCTCCATCTGTTTCAGCTGCATTTGTGATCAGGGAAGATCGAGGGTCAAGGTGCAGTGAATAAACAATAACGTAGCTTTATCAAACTGCAGAGAAATCAGATAGTAAGCGTCTCCTGCTTAGATACCGACGTTCTTTGAAATAGTTTCTTCGTAATATGACAAAGGAAAAGGAAACCCAGACAGATCATTCATTCCGTCCCATTGGACTCAAATTAAAGCCACTCAATTGTCATCACTCACCAAGAGCTGAACTACACCATATCCATCAGTACTCCCTCTTGTCTTAAGTCAAATGTTTAAAGTTTGACCAAATCTATAAAAAAAGTTACAAATATTTGTGACACAAAATGAACACATTATGAAAATTTAGTTTATGCTATATATAATTATACTAATTTAGTGTCATAAATATTGACACTCTTTTCTATAAATTTAGTCAAACTTTAAAAATTTTGACTCAAGACAACTCTAAGAATTGATTTATTCAGGGGACAGAGGGAGTACTTCACACGTTCACTATTACCCAACAGATTACCCTATTAATTCACCCTATATGAATATACATATATTTGCAGCTGCCAGCAGAAAATGTAAACTCAGTAAGTAATATACACATCTGAAGGGACCTAGTTCTACTGTAATCCAAGGAACGACGAAAACCAAATTCCTATTGAGACAACCCCTACAGTCGCGACTGCTTGACTTAGTTCGAAGAACATGTTTGGTCTTTCATCGGGCAATGCCTTCCAATTTATCCTCCTGCCAATATTTGTATGAATTGTCAGTAACTTGCAGTGGATGTTGAACTAGAAGCATGCACACATCAACCAAACTAACAATTAAAAGTTTTGAATAAGTACCCCAAGTCAGCTATGACTATGCTAATATTGTCTTTTGACCGTTGATCCTGTTGAGAATAAAAGGAAAAAATACAACAGCATTTTTTTATTCTTGAATGAACTCAAAACTATACTTAAACTAGCTTCATGAGACAAAAAGAAAAGAACAGAAAAGATGAATGTGGCAGGCATCAATACCAGAGCTTTCTGACCAAGTGCCTCACAGGCCAACTACACAAACAAAATGAGTAATAAGTGAAAATACAGAATCAGTTTCAGAAAGGAAAATAATTACTATTGTTTTTCTCAGCAGGATAAACTGAATACCTGGACATCACCATGTTGACGTAGTTGATCTCTGACAAAAGCTACAGCTTCAGAGCTACAAAAGCCAATCAGTTTACATTTCAGAACATCTAACTTTCAATAGTGAATTACAATGTTTTGAAAGGAAAACTGTACATAGATATGAAAAGTACTTGGATAGACCTTTTTATGTAATCCCAAAGACCATCAGTTGCTAATAGAACAAATTCCACATCTGGTCCAAGCTCTACCAGAGATACATCAGGTGACGAGATTATTAGATCATCTTTAAATTTTATTCTGCAGAAAAGAACTCCAGTGACATTAGAAGCGTCATAGACCTTAATAAGCTCAACTTTTGGCAAGTGCAAACATAGCCTCATTGTGTAAAAATTTTAAGCTATGTAATTGGAGTTTTTTTTTTCCAACTTTCACATTATGTGGCCACCACCTCAAAAACTGCCGACACCAAGAAGACATAAATATAAAAAAAGGGCATACCCAGTGCAGAGAGCTCCCGCTCTGTGCGGGGTCTGGGGAAGGGTGTCAGTGGCAAGTCTTACCCTCACCTGTGCAATGCGAGGAGACAGCGACTCGAACCCGGGACCTTCCGGTCACATGCGGTAAGACTCTACCGCTTGCACCAGGCCCGCCCTTCAAGAAGACATAAATATATGTTGGATAAATAGTTTACTTGATACAGAGCAGATATTAAAATGAGAACAAACTCCATGGTTCAGAGCCATATCAGCCCTCTACCCTGAAGAACATAAGATTTTTATCATCTGATGATAATCTAATTTGTGGTGAGCATGAAGGAATGACTTTGATTACCATACAACAACAACAACAACAATAAAGCCTGTCAGTCCCAAGCAAGTTGGGGTAGGCTAGAGTTGAAACCCACCAAGAGCCCCTAGTCATGGTTCAGGCACATAAATAGCTGCTTTCCAAGCAATGACTTTGATTACCATGGTTTAGAGAAAATGAACAGAAGTTGCAAATAAATTACTTTTCAGATAGCTTCAGGTAACTTGTGTTTCAGCAAAAAGAACTCAGTTTTCTCAAACTAGCAAATTTTTGTGATGCCACAAATATAGATTGCTGTAAATGTAATTTTCATGATTTTTTTTTGTCACTTGCAATGATGCACTCGCTAAAACATAGTTTTATTAAACCAACCATGAATAATGCAATAACCTATTAATCTTGAAACACAACATATGAACTTTGTGAGTCATTACATGCTACAGATGCATGTGAACATATGAATTTTTAGGTGGGCATGTGTACAAATATTTATGGAATAAAAGTTCAAGCGCTTTACCGTGAGATGAACTTATCAGTCCACCTTCCTTCTTTAACTCCTTTCACCAGCATTCTGTACAAAAACCATAAAGGAATCTTAAAGACTAAAGAAGCTACTACTGAGAAATAATAACACAATAAAAGAAGTACATAATGTGTGGACAAAGAGTTGAGTACAAGAGACAAACTCATTCTTTCGTGTCTTAAATCTTATGTCCCCAAAAGCACGAGATACAGATATGTCTCCACATATGCGCCCATCAACAATCTACAAGAAAAAAGACAATATATTTCGACTTTGTAAAAACAAGAGTCAGCTTCCCATATACATAAATGAGCTGAAACATGAGGGGTATGGAACATGTTCTTCATTGCATACGATTAGCAAGGAGTAAAGGGTACAGTAAGGTTTTGAACTTAACATGTCCAGTCACCAACTTTATGAAGCTATGAATATAGTAGTCTAGGGGCAATCTAGGAGAATGAGAAGAACTCTGGCAGAGAAAACACACCCATCCACCTGCTGCTCTGATCCTCTTGACCTCTTCAAGGGACGTTTTGTTGTTCCCATATGGTCGATGAGAGCTGGTCAAAGCTTCAGGTCTTCCACCGCGTGATATCACCTGCTAATCAAGATTCAGAACTACCTTATCATCATCACCAGAAAAGTTAGCTTGACATAGGCAACAAAATCGGGGTCCTGTTGTCACTTGCTAGGCTTGACAATAGGATGACAGTATGACACAACACACAGTTACACAAACACAAGACAGGTAATTAAAGAGAATTGTTGGTACCAAGCAAGAGTCCCCAATGTGCGAGACAACAAGGACATCGTTCCTGAGAAACATGGCAGTTGCCGTAGCACCAGAGTCGTCGTCCTTGTCGGCTTGCTCGAGCCTGGAGGGAAGCAACGACATAACATGTAAGAACATGCAGCAAGGAATTTACAAGCCTGATGAGAAAGGCAAGAAAATTGGGAGATCGAATCCTGCAAACCAGTGTCCCTGACCAGGTGGAGAGCTTGGCGTCGACAGCGGCGAAGGCACGCTGGATGGAGGCCGTGATAGCGTCGAGATTCTTAGTGCTCAGCACCGCGCCGCCGTCCAACGTGGCTGCGCACTCCTTGTACAGCTCGTCCCTGAAACGCCACGAACGAGCAGCCGGGAACCGCGCTTCGTTGAGGGGTAGGATTTTATTTATTTTAGTAGAAAACAATAAATTTGCAAGGTGCCTGAGGAACTGGACGGCGGAGAAGCCGGCGTGTCCATCCAAGACGGCGGCGAAGGAGAAGCCGTCGAGGAGGGAGCCCGGGCGGAGCAAGATCTCATCCTCCATCTCGTCGCGAACGCCCTGCAGCTTGGCGCTGCCCCACTGGATGGCCTCCAGCTCCGACGACGGGGGCCCCGCGGCCGCCACGCCGCCCGCCGCCGTCGCCTGGCACCTCGCGGCACGGCCAAAGCACCGGGCACCGGCCGCGGCGGCGAAGGTGAAGGTGGAGGGCGGCAGCCGCGGCACGCGGGGGCTCAGCAGCGCCATTTTGATTTGACCGCTAGCGACGCTGGAGTTGGGAGGGATAAGAGGCGAGCGGCACCGCACACGAAATTCTGCGTCTGAGGCCAAGGCTGTCCCGGCTGCCTGCCACGTCACATCGTTCGCTGCTAATCACTCGCCCCGCTCCTGGCCGACCTGGCCGTTATAGTCAGTCCACACCAGCAGGGAAATGGGATACCTTTTTAACGTCTGGTTCTGGTATAGCTAGCTAAAAAGTAATTAAAATTAGCTAATAATTTTTTAACCAAGTCTTCGATAGCCAACTAGCCAGTCAATCCTAACTAATTTGAACTAAAAGTCCTAATTACTAACTATTCATGTATATCCAAAGAGACCCATGTTCATGTAGCACACGTATCCAAATCTCGGTATGGTTCTGGTAGGACGTGGTGTTTTATTTTGTCCTAATAACTTAAACTTTCTGGAAAAAAGAATCATGTAGAAAAATATATTAATGTCTCAAGACATTTCATGATGAATTTAATTAAACTAATTTGGTGTTAGTGTATTTTTTATGAACTTGATCAAAGTTAGAAAAATATAGCTTATGAGACAACTTAAATAGTCTATGGTTGAATTTTGGAATAGAGAGAGACACTTGATATACCCCTCAGTTCTAAATTATAAGATGTTTTGACTTTCTAGATTCATAGTTTAATCTAGAAAAAAACAAAACGTCTTATAATTTAGATTGAAGGGAGTATTAACTTATTGGTGCAATAAAAGTTTATAGTAATTTATTTTCTTACAAATGATTGAGAAATTAAAAGTTGGGCCATTGATCAACATTCGTATAGTTTAACTTAGGGGTGTTGGGATACCCACTCTTAAATTTGAGTCCCTGTCATATCAGATGTTTGATATTAATTTGAAGTATTAAACATAGACTAATTACAAAACTAATTATATAGATGGAGATTAATTTGTGAGACAAATCTATTAAACCTAGTTAGTCCATGATTTGACAACGTGTTGCTACAGTAACATGTGCTAATGATGGATTAATTAGTCTTAATAAATTTGTCTCATAAATTAGACTCCATCTGCGTAATTAATTTTATAATTAGCTCATGTTTAATCCTCGTTAGCATCCGAATGTTCGATGTGACAGAGACTAAACTTTTGTCCCTAAATCAAACACCCCTTTAGCTTCTTTGTTGGAAAAGTTGATTTTCTAAAATTTCCTAAGAAAATATACATGATTTAGCCGGCTATGACTGAAAAATGTTTTCAATTGGCTTTCATCATACGATCCAGCAAGGAGAAACACAAAAGCAATAGAACAAACCACGGGAGCCAACGAGGTTAAATAGTTAGTCCCTTCATTTTAAGTTATAAGATATTTTGACTTTCCTAGATATATACTATGTTTAGATACATAATAAAACAATGAATTAAAAAACCATAGCACCTTGTAACTTGGGACAAAGTATCTCATTGATAATTTTGGTAGTTCCAATTTAGAAGACTTTTAACCACAGGTTCTAGTCCATTTTAGTGTCGCTGTTGTGGACGATGTTATGCGACTTCTCGATTGTGTGTTCTAGATCTCTCTTTGTGCCTTTCTTTCTTTCTTTCTTTCTTTCATGATAGAAGGCCTCACTAAGTTGAAACATAAAGGGAGGAGTTGGTAGTCAAGATAACCAAAAAAAGATGAAAAATCTTACCATGCTTTGTGTAACACCCTCGCTATTACACTATAAATTATTTACTAAAACATGTCATGAGCATTATGTTTATGTGTTAATGCATGTAATAAAGTGTGTAGATCAATTTCTGTAACTCGAAACGATCAACTAGAATACAAAACAAAAGTTAATTCAATAGTCATGTTATATCATTTAAGGTTGAAAACTAATTTTTATTAAGCAAAAATGCTATGAAATATGTATGTGATACCTAAATAAAGTTTGAAGTACAAACTTTATAGATGACAATGAAATACTTGCGGTCGAAAAATGATATTACTAACTAATATTTCCACGAGCTTAGAAATCGCAAATGGAAGTCAATTTCAGCTCAAACACATAGAAATTTTCAAGTTTACCGACTGTTAGACACTGCTACGTTTAGCAATTTATCGTGAGAGATTGGGTTAAGGAATAGTGAAGTATTATGGCTTATTTTAGTAGCCTAATGAACCCCCTAAGATGTAGCGAAGTTGATGTGGGGATTGGAGCAACTGGTTAGGGGTTTCGAACGCTTTAAAAATCATGCACAATGCGTTCTCAGCCGACTTCCAGTCTGTGCGCGGTCACCGGGCCCGCTGCCCCGACATCGCGGCGTCGGCGCGTGCACGCGCTGGCCAGCTGCTGCTGCCGCAGGCTGCCCGCTCAGGTGCGCTAGCTAGCCGTCAACACGAGCCGCCGCGCCCCGCCCCCTACACCTGGCTACCCATCGCGCTGTGATGCTGTCGCCGTCGTCCTATCACCCATGTTGCATGCTGCTTCGCCGCCACGCTGCCTCGCCGCCATTTGACCGCCATGTGCTCCTACACCACGTCGTTCTTTGCCTTCTTTGCCGCAAGACGTGGGATGCCGCCCTGTGGCGTCGTCGGCCCACCATTAATGGTGTTGTGGCGCGGCGGCCGAGCCGGCCGTGGCCGCTTGCGCTCATCGCTTGCGCCTGGTGTGTGTACCCCAGTTGCGACGCCCGTGTCCTGCCAAAGAGTGCCAGCCGCATCACTGCTCGTCGTTGTTCCACCGCTGCGCCTTCTCCTGCTTCCCGCCGCGGTCACGTCGTGACCCCGGTGAGCTAGAGCGCGGGAGGTTGCCTTAAATCTCACGTGCTCGTGTCTCCACCTTGGCGTCAATGTGCCGAATATCCCCACCCCGCCTTGAATTGCGTCATGACGTGCTCCAATTTAGAGTTTTTCCTCCGCCGTGAAATTAAGGCCGGGTTCGGCCATGGCCGAGGACAACCACTCACCGCACCATCCCACGCCCAGCCAACTGTGTCACAAGCTTTGCCTCCACCTCTACTGCACCATGCGCGCCTCACTTGCACCTCTACCGCCTCGTCGGTGCTGCTGACGCGACCGCACCGTCGCGGGCCGCGCCGCCTCCCGCCGGCCTCACGTGGCCAACCCTGCTCAGGGTATCTCTAACCGAACCATCACCGCAGCCGTGACCAAGGTAAGTTAGTGATGCTCTCATGCTAGCCAGTAGCTGCGCGATGGTCTAGGGTGGCTGGTACGGTCGCGCCACCGTCGCATGCGGCCGCTCACCATGGCCGTCACTCCCGCAAACTCCGCCGCTACTGTAGCTTCAGCTAGTGTAGGCACTAGGGCTGTAGGTGCAAGTCGGCCCACTAGCTGGACCGGGGCGGGTCACGATTGGCCGACATGGCCGTCCAGTGTCACGTCTGCCGCGCTGGTGCGCGTAGGGGTGGCCAGGGACCTGGCCGTGGTAAATACGATAGATTGCAGGGTCCTATTCGCATAGTCTCTCTCTCGGGAAATAGTGTCGTGGACTGTGGGTTGATTCGGTCTTAGTGCGGGGGCGTTTTTGCGAAGTTAGCGGCGCGCGCGGGTCGCCCGGTCGTGGGCCGCCTCATGGTGGGCCGCATCTGCGTGGGCCATGCGGTGGTGGGCCGTGGAGTGGAATTCATTTTTCCTTTTCTTAAGGAATTAGAGATAGCTTTATATTTTAATTTCTAAGTTGAACTTTGAAAATTAATATCAAATTTTATTTAGTTCCTAAAAATGTTGTCTATCTGATGGTATAGTTAGTTTATGCATGTCTGAGTTGATACTGAGGTCTATTAAATCAATTGTGACTATTTAGTATTATTTAGATTAATATTTGTAGGAATTTTTGTGGCAAATGGATAATAGTTTTGTCCATGAAATTTTTACAGTCGGTTCATTGTATTATTATGTGCTCACTATAATTTTTGTAGCCTTAGAATAGGTTGATAAATACGGTAGCTAAGTACTCCTTGTTTTAGTATATATGAAATCATAAATAAAGTAAGAAATGCATTTTTGGTTGCTAAGATAATACTTGAATGATTCATACCTGTTTAGTGGAAAGGATGGGTAGCTTAGCATCTTAGTCATTAGAGTTAGCTTAGTAGCTTGGTAGATGTATTGTTATTTTAAGAGCTGCTATTGCTAAAATGCTAAGTGTTGCATCATCATTGCATGCATATAGAGAACGCATTGGTGGAGTTTGTGACCGCTGGAGAGCAGGAATACGAGGAGGTGATTGAAGAGTACGAGGAGGAGGTCTTCGTACATGAGGAAGCCTCGGAGCCACCGATGACTAATATAGCTGACCACCCGCCTATCCAAGGCAAGCCCCATGCATAACTCTTATTTTGAAAAATCACCGGATATATATATGTGATGTGCATTACGTTATAGGATTTATATCGAAACTTTATGCATAGATAACCTATATATGAGTCCTACTAGCATAGGTCGAGTAGTTGCTATGCTTAGGCTATCGGTAGCATGAGTAACCTACCGTTACTCATAATAGGTGATTATTATTATCACTCTCAATAAAATGGTGAAAGGAAATAGAGACCGGGTAGGGATATGGTACATGTATTGGTGGGTGTAAGAGGTTGTGTCTCACGGCCAACGGAGCATAGCTTGGTTACATCGTTTTCCCTATTCGTGTCGGTTAAGGATCGACCATTGCATTGGGTTCTAGTCAAGTCACAGACTTATTATCCTGAGCACATACTTATTTATGAGAGCAGGGGAGGCTCGTTGCTCTCTTATCGTGGGTTTTGGTTCTTTCCGGACCGACTGATTGAAAGACGGGGATGGTGGAGATCTAAGCACCACACTAAGTCCGGGACTCAGGTGTGGGGGCTTAGAGTCCAAGTTTAGATGGGGACATGGACCCCTTGATAGGAGAGTGATGGGTTGGTGCTGCTTGTGCCTGGGGTACAAGCGGGGCATATGTTTTGGGGTACTCAGCTGGGCATATTGATTCGTGAATCGTTGGGTAATCCGGTATGACTTGTCTATAATCTAGCACCGTAGTAAGAACTGGAAGATGAAAGATGGCGAAATGGATCTGTTTGCTCAACTCTTGCTTGAAAATAGAACATGTGCTTACCTAAAATGGTTAGATAATGAACTAATTATGACTGCTAATAAGAAACATACACAATGATTCACTACTAGTATTGCTTTTTAGTAAAAAAACCCAGCAACCCATAAAGCTTATCATATCATTTGAAGTTGGGAAAATTATTCCCACTAGTTGGATAAGTCTTGTGAGTACATTGTATACTCAGGGTTTATTTACCCTTATTACAGATGCAGCTTGAAGAGTAGCTGTTGTGTGGAGGATTCTTCTGGTGGGCACAGACGGATCCTTGTATTCCACCGTTAGATGTTTATTGTAATTCCACACTCTGAATTTGGTATTATAATAATGTATTTCTAAGAACTCTTGTTGTATAAAATGGATTAAGTATTGTAAACTCGTTCTTATTATTGGATCTTGAAGGAAAAACGTGGATTATTCGAGTTCTCCTTTGGGGTGTGCTCGACGGAATCCGTTCGATGTAGCTTGCTTTTGGGGTACTTAGTATCTGGTGGAAGACGAGCGCCTCCGAAAAGTGTGTTATTTCAGACGATTCAGCCACACTTCGCCACAGCTAGGCTGGCAAGGCTAACCCATCTACATACCAAAGATGGTTGGGGAATAGGAGGAAACTTAGAAGACAATGGGGAGCAAGAGAGAATTGACTCAATTATGTTCCTACTTAGAAGGAAGGGAAAAAAGAAGCCTCAAATAAGCTCATCCATGTGGGATAGAGGTGGGAGCGAATGGTCTAGCAATGGCACTAGTTTGGTTATTACATCATAAGAGCATCTTCAACAATATATAAAAAAAGTACTCCCAAAAAAGTTTTTTTAACCTTTGTAGAATATATTAGAAGATATAAAAAAGCTATAACTCCAACAATTTTCAAAATCTAGCGCAAGGGAATTTTACATCATGAATCTTAAACTATTTCTAAATCACACTTACCACATTTATACTTTATTTCTTTGTTGTACATTTGCATCAGGAACATTGTCCTACTTTTTTTCTTTCCAAATCCTTCCACCTCCAGATTGGCGCGACGATACTTGCGCGGGGGTGGTTTTTTCCAAGTGCCAAAAGATTAGGAGGTGGGTTTGAGAGTTGATAGAGATGAGTTTTTTTCACGCTTACCAAAATTCCTAGATTGAGTGACTATTTGGATACTCTTGAAGATGCTCTAACTTCTAGGATCTTATCATAAGCTCAGCCTATAAAATCTAGAGAGCATCCTTCTATTTGTAGATGAGAACTTTATTTTTAATATATATTATTTATTAATAATAAATAAAAGGTAGTGATTTTAAAAGTTTACAAAAACCATCGAATGAAAAAAGGCAATATGACCTTTACAGGAAAATGAAGGGAGGGCCTATTAGTGGGCAAACTAGCTTATATGAGAAAACCCGTGTAGCTTTTGTTTTATCGAACCAACAATGCAGTTGCAAGTCAATTGCTTCCTCCATGCATCTTTTTATGGAGAAATCAAGCCATTTTGGCATTTGTCAGTGAGGCCTTGTTTGATACACTTATATCCATTTCAATCCAATGTATTGAGATGGATTGGAGTGAAAATTAAACTAAGTTCTCACTCTAATATATCTCAACACACGTGGATTGAAGTGCATTCAAACAAGGGGTAAGATTTTATTTGTCACATGAGACACAAGTTAGGTTTTTGTTAGGTCCAAATGTCATCAAAAAGTTGAAGTAAAGCCACAAATTAGTTGGTTGATTAAAATATGCAGTTAACTAAAAAATTAAAATAAAAAATAGAATACATTAAAAAGTCATAAAACTATTTTTTAAATACTGTTCAAACTTAAACGAGTTTCTCAGCTCGATAATAGAAGGATGTAACAAATCACCAAATACACACGACTGCAATAAATTACCCCAGAAAGCCCAGGTCGTGGCCCGCGCAATAACGTAGCCCACGTCCGTGCACAGCCGCACACAGTGGTCGCCGGCTTTGCAGAGAGCGGCCGCGGCATTGGCAACCGGTGAGGGGGATCCACGCAGCTCCAGCTACCACCACCATCGCCGCCACAGCGGTGCATGCAGCAGCCGGCACGACGATGGGGGAGCGAGACGCGCTTCCGCCGCTGCCGCTCGCCCTCGGCCCGCCGCATCTAATCCCGCCGGCGCCAACCCGCGACCCGCGCGCCATCGCCTTCCTCCCTGACCTCGTGGGCCTCCCCTGGGTCGCCTACGCCGCCGGCTCCTTCCTCGTCGTATCCCACCTCCCCTCCCCTTGCCGGGATGACAACAGCAACGGCAGCTGCTCCCCGTTCTTCTGCCAGGTCATCGACCTCCGCGCCCCCGTGTCCGCCGTCGCTTGGTGCGGCCGCGGGAGCGGAGAGGTCGCCGCTGCTGCAGACAATTCTGTATCCGTCTTCCAGCCGGCGCCCACCTCTTCTCCAGGTCTGCTTCTCTGGCCAATTCCTCAAATTCTCCTCGTCAGCTCGTCAGTCAGCTTAGACGGCTGTTGTGGCACGGCTCAGTGTTTGGAGATTGGAATCTGCAGGTTCGTTTGGTTGGCTCATGAGATGGTCTATCACCGAGACGTTCGCCATCACCGCTGTCTCCTGGACTGGCTGCGGCAATGGCATTGTGGCAGTTGGCTCAGGTGTTTCCATGTGGGCCAGATTGGATTCCTCCTGGCAGCTCTCCTGGAGGTCTACACCGCAGGTGCCGCAAGCCCTTGTCTCCACTACCTGCTCCCTGCAGGGTCCTGTCGCGACAATGGCAGCTCTTGCTCCAGCTGAGGGCAGTGTGCCTGTTCTTGTGTTTCTGAATGATGCCAGGAGGGGGCTGGAGCAAGCTGAGCTTGTGCATCCTCAGCCTGTTTGTATGATCCAGTGGAGACCCTGTTCGTTATACGCCCATGACCGGTCTGAGATCAGGAGAGAGATCCTCATGACTTGCTGCTTTGATGGGACTGTCCGGCTTTGGAGTGAGGATGAGGTGGCCAGGTCGAAGAAGCAGCGTGGTTTGCAATTATCATTCAGTGTCATTGCAGTAATGGAGGTGAACAACACTCTGAATGGAGTCCTTGGAGTGGATATTAGTGTGAGATGGTCCATGGAATCTGGCAGTGTTGTGTCAAGAGACGAACAAGGTAGATTCAAGTTGTTTTCAGGCGATTTGAGGGAGAGCCAGGTTGGTAAATGTGAGTGGCTTGTAAGTCTTGGGCCCGGGCCTTGCGTTAGCTTTTGGGCTGTCCATTGTTTGGATGATGTATTTCTGCCAAGGTACCCACGGATTACTTTATGGAAACAGAGCAAACTTCAGGGCTGGGGGGAGTCCTATGTTAACTCAGGCCCTCCAAAATCTATAGAACGGTCAATTTTTGTTGAGGCTGTTATCTCAAGAAGGTTATGTTCTGGCCCACCTGTAACATGCTTTTTGTTTCATTTGCTGGTGGACGATTCATTCGTTTGGTCAGCCTTATCCACCAGACTGTCAGCTGATTCTGGGAACCATGCTTCAAGTGATTTTGCTAAAAGTATCTTGTGTTGTTTGACTAAACCTGTCAAACAAGATGGACATAAGGGTAGCATCAGACAAGTGGCTGTCCATCCATATAGCTGCGAAATAGAGCTAGCTGTCTCCATGGATTCAAACAGAATGATATTTTTCTGGTCTCTGTCAACCTTTTCAACTCTCATACCGACATTGCATGCACCTGTGTATCCTTTATGGCAGCTGTTGTACAAATTTGATTTGCGTAACATTTCTGAAGATGTCCAGTACTCATGTTTGTGTTGGGCGCCTTCTGTTACTCATGATAATAGATTTCTTGTCCTTGGAGGGGAAAGTGGTGCCGATTGTTTATTCATCAGAATTCAGAAAGACGAGGTTCTTTCATGCCAGAAATTTTTCACAATCCCCTTCCTTGCAGAAAGCGATGCAGAAGGGCCACCTGACAGCATTCATACAATACCATTAGCTTCTAAATGCAGCAGATGTTTTGTGAACAACAGTTTCCTAGTAGTATGTCTATGGAAGAAGACCTTCCAAGCTTTCTCATGGAAAGTAGTATTGCATTCTGAAAATCAATATGTCAATGGGAGATGTTTGTGTGGTTTTGCTCCTAGCTCACTTTCCACCACAAAACAAGGGCACATGTATGCTTCAACAATGAAATGTTTTCAGCAGTTGTTTATGAAGGTTCTTCAGTCTTTCCTTCTGGTCTGGAGGGAGAATATCCCACATGCATTTCTGTAATGCTGCTGAATAATACTGTACTGCCTATACAACAACATGACCCTTACAGAACTGTTCCAGGCTATCATATTGCTACTGGTTGCTCAGATGGCACTGTAAAACTTTGGAAGATGTCTTGTGCGGGTAACTCTTTGCAGACTGAGAAAGAAAGACACATCTGGGAGCTAGTAGGCATGTTTTGTGCTCATCAAGGACCAATTGACACAGTTGTATTGTCAGGCTGTGGTAGAGTTATTACTGTTTGCAGAAATTTGAAGAAAAATAGCACCTCCATTCATATCTGGGAAGCAGTAAAAATCAGGGGGGATGGGAATTTTCTGCTAGAAGGTACACTAATGTTGCAAGACCATATTGTTGGTTTAGATGGGCTATCCTTAGGTGATGGACGATTTCTACTTGCAGTTTATCTAGCTAATGAGTTGCATATATATTCTCATAAGCATCCTTCCTTCCAGAATGTACTACACACTGAGAATTCAAAAGAAGAGCATCTTTGGAGCTGTATTGTATTATCCCATTCTCATCATGATATTGTTGGCTTTCTTTGGGGGCCAAAGGCAACTGTTGTGCTTGTTCATGAGAACCATCTTTCACTCTTCAGTTCATGGCTAGTAACTAGAGATGATGAGTACATGACCCAGATACATTCTTGTCCTGTAGTTCATGAGATGTTGCCATGTACTAGCAATTTTAACGAAGCTACTTTCGGTAAACTCAAGTTACCAGAAAATTACAACAACAGTGGAAATATTGATAGCAATGATGTCCTGCTAACAGACCAACATAGTCACCATTCTCATGGTTTATGGAGCTTGTTGCATATAGCTGATAGATTGAGTGGACCGCTGGCATCATATCACCCAAGAGCACTTGTCCAGTATCTTTATTCAGGTGTGTGTGTTTCTTTCCTGGATTTACCTAAAATATCTCTCTCTCTCTCTCTCTCTCTCTCTCTCTCAATTCTACATTTATCTCAAGCGTTGCTAAGTCGATACGAATGGACTTCTAGTTTTAAAAACTCTGTCTAATGAAAAATAAGTAGCGTTTGGGGTATGCACATTAACATCTTTTAACTTGATTATAGACCTTTCTGTGAATGCTTAATTGCGCATATGAAATTGATAATCTGGATTCTCGTGGAAGGGTAATGTCCTATTATTATGATTTTATTATTATTATTTTACTAGGTTATATAGATATAACAAACTATTCCCTCCGTCCCAAAGTTTAAGCGTTTATAGTTTTCTCCTAAGTCAAAGTATCTTAAGCTTGACCAAGTTTATAGGGAAGACTATTAACATCTACCCGATCAAGGAAGTAAACTATGAAAATATATGCCGCAATGGATGTAATGATGCACATTTGATATCGAAAATGTTATTGTTCTTTTCTATAAGCTCGGCCAAACTTAAGGTAGTTTGACTTAGGGCAAACCCAGAAATGTTTGTATTTTGGGATAGAGGGAGAACCTAGTAGTTCTTGTTGTGGTTTCAAGACTGCTATTGCCCAAGATGAAATTTATTTGTGGCTAGCAGAGCAAGATGTAAGATAATTTTAGTTATGGTGGGCAACGTGTATCAACGGAAGAAGCGGAGTCGTGGCTGAGGAGCGAGCCACACTGCGACGCACCAGAGCGCGGTCACCAGGAGTCTCCAGCACGTAGACGTTTAGTTGATAGGATTCGATTGTTTAGGATTTTGTTTGTTCCTTTGAGTTAGCAGACAAGTTTGTTAAGATTTGGCTATAAGTATTGGACACTGGATTAATGAAAAGGTTAGCTAGAGATTGATCTAATCTCTCCCGCCCCTCTGTGTTCTCCCATGCCCAAGCTGACGCTGAGCACAGCGTCGCATCCTCGCCGCCGGGTCCTAAGCCTCGACCACCCACCTCCCACTCATACTTCCTACGCGGCAGTGCTAGCTCCAACAATTTTAGTGCTACTTTACCTTAGATTTTCAAGATGTTAGAGTTAATCTGCAGTTGAGTTTTGAGATACAAGTCTACTTTTGGCGTGATCTGCTGTAATTCTATGAGAAATCTAGACAAAGTTCTATGTGGCTCTTAAAAATCTTGTCATTTAGTGTATTCTAAAAGAGAACAATAAACTGCTGTGCCAAACTAAACCTGATTGTTTTAGTTCTAAAAGCTTTCCCCAGCCTGTTTGCAAGACATTAACCTTGATGGAACTGCTGTTTCCTGGAATTTCCCGGTAAGTAAGTTTGAGCAATCATAAATTGGAATAGCTAGGTTTGGATGGTTCATGTGTTCCTTTGAACCTTCTGATCTACAAATGTACTAGCTTTTACAGCATCACCATTAAATGGGTGCTGTTAAACAACTCTATTAATTTTTAACCTGTTACCAGTCATCCAGTGTGTGGTTGAATTACTTTGCTTTGAGCTAAGTCTGATGTGTGGTTGATGGTTGAGTTGCTAAATGCTGCAGTTACGGATGCAAGTCCCACATGTTTTGGGTCATTGGGTCGACCCAAAGATGGCTAAAATGAACTAGAATGGCATGCCACACAATTAATTTAGGGGTTTCCTAAAAAACATAATTATTTTAGGGGGAGAAATGAACTAAGCTAGCTGACCCACAAAACACTATTGGGTACTGACTTGCATCCTTTGCTGCAGTTACAGCCAGTTTAGCCTACAGCCAATGGCTCATTTGGAAACTCTTTTCTTATGAATACTAGAAGAATACCCCCGCGTTGCCGAGGGAATTTCTTAGAAATAAATTTGTTATATACGTAGCATTACTATATAGTATCCTGTATATATATGAGCTTGGCTTGCATGTTATTTATTGGATTGGATCTAATAAAAATCGGTAATAAGCTAATGGAAAGAAAAGCCAATAGAATATTATATCACATTATAGAAAGGTAGGATGATGAAACAAACAGCATATGTAGAGGGCTTGTAAATTGATAGATTAAAAATTAAAAGTATTGCTCATAATAAAGATGATGTGGACAATTTTTGTAATTAATAAAGGAGGACATGGATAGCTTGCATGAAAGAATTGCAAGTTAGTGGAGCACTTAGTCAAGAATGATGTGGACACCGTACAAGAAGAGATAGAACATCTAGTGGGGATTAGCTTTATTAGAGTATATAGATACCCTAATCTTTGATACCATTAGACAAGATATATCCTTGCGGCCTTGCATAGTTTATTTAAAAATCACATAGCATCCTACACAATTTTGTGCAAATCAAGTAACACAGTTGAGTCATTGATTCTTTTGTTGCTTGTGCATAGGTGAATGGAAACGTGTGGATGCTGCTCTGCACCATCTTGTTCAATCCATGAAAGTGAGTGAAACTTCGAAGGCCATGTCAAAGTGCAATACATGCCATAAATCAAGCCACAGTATTCCAGAACTTCCTTTGTCTGAATACTTTGCAGCAACAGTGTCCAACAACATTTCTACCAAGGGGTTTATGTGGGGTGAAGATAGAAGTAACACAACTTTCAATCTGTTGTCACCTTCAACTTCATTTCTTTATGAGGATGGCAATTTAGGTATCAATACTACAACTAGCGCATCTAAGAAACCAGAGATTGTTGAGCTCCTTGATAAGAGTTTCAGCATATATGGTATAAGTGACTCAGAGAAAAATCAGATACTTGCAATTTCTGATCTTGTGGCTGGAATCACTGATCAGAGCAATTCCTCTCCCTACAAAAACCTTGACGAAGCAGGAAGGAGGTAAGAGAACTTTGAAATATTTACTTATGAAAATTCATTGGTATTGCATTACTTGAATCTAGAGACTAGTTAGGAAGTGAGCCTAGCTCAACTGGTTGGGTGGGAGGTGTGGTCATGCACCCAACCACCTAGGTTCAAGTCCCCTCTTGACTTGAATTTGGGTGCCTATTTTCTCTATTTTCTCCTCTTAATGAAAAACCGCCTAGTTCCTCCTAGGCTGGATCTCGTTTTTTTTAAGCTAGAGACTAGTTTAAGTGTTTGAACGGGATTTATACTATCATATGTGGTTAAAGTTACACTAATTGATAATTTTATCTCTCTCAAGGTTCTGGGTTGCTGTGCAGTTCCAACAACTCCATGCTCTTAGAAGATCTGGAGATTCATCAGGGTGCTGTGTTGATTCTGCTTCCATAGCGTGGGCCTTCCATTCTGATTGTCAGGATGATCTACTTAATTCTGTGCTTCCTGCAGAGCCAACCTGGCCAGAGATGCAAAAGCTTGGTATAGGATTATGGTATACAAATGTGTCCCAACTAAGGACAAGGGTATGTGAATCCAAGCGATCCAATGCTTCAGAACTATGTAACTTCTATAATTTTTTTTTCCTAAAGAGAAAATGGATTTCATCAATTAAAAGGAGTGGTAAACTAGAGCATGTCTTTGTGAACTGGCAAAGCCCTCATGATGCACATTTTTGTATCAAATTCATACGGATCATGTTCTCAACCCCTGAAAAGGCCGTTTATGTTTTTTCTTTTTTGCAATGCATCCTACAGGTGCTAATAAGATAATTTAAACTAACACATAATAACGGGTTCGTTTGATCACTAGTATCCTATACCGAGTGATTGTTTGGATGAAGTGGATTTCGTTGCCCCTTGAAAAGATTGATCCTAAAGATTCATGTCTATTTCCCATACCAAAACAGGCACTAATGTTCTTTCGGCTTGCCTTGGTTAGAGTTAAATGCTATGTTGCTTTTCCCCCAAAGAAGTCATTAAATTTGACTTGTCTATGATAGGATTGCAGACTTTCTCAACTTATGTGATATTGTTTTATCATTGTTGTAATGCAGTTTCCAAATTTTAGGAATTAAGCATTAATGACTCTCCATTGATCTTTTGTGCCCTATCTCTAAACACCGTAATGAAGGATTTTTATACTTGCAGTTATCTGGATAATCACCTGTGCTGATTAGGTATGTATGAAATTGTAGATGGAGAAGTTGGCAAGGTTGCAATATCTTAAAAGCAAGGACCCCAAGGATTGTGCTTTGCTCTACATAGCATTGAACAGAATAAAAGTGTTGGTTGGTCTTTTCAAGATTAGTAGAGATGAAAAGGATAAACGTCTATATGAATTTCTGTCCAGAAACTTCCAGGTATTTCAGTCTGTAGTAAGTTTTTTATTTGATTACTGGACAAAATCAGTTATGTGGTTGTTTCTATTTCATATGTGTGCTTGATCCTATAATTATCTTGCAATGTTCATATTTTAGATTCTTCAGGAAATAAGTAATGCTAGTTCTGGCACCTCATATGAGCTAGGGGACAGTTCATCATAGATTACCATTATGCTGGCAATCCTGGACTTTTTTGAGCCAGATGCAGATAATATGACAAAGGAATTTCAGGTTATTTTTTAATAATATTGTTTTTGAAATATTCGTTTTTTAAAAAATGTACTAGTTTCCATTTTTGTTCAAACATATCATCATATAATCAATTTGCGAAAAGGGTATGTTGCTTTAGGGCACACAACAACCTTAGTAGCACCCCTGGTCCTAGGTTCCACTTCTCGTGGGAGTGAATTTAAACAAGTCTGGATTAAAAAACACCCCTTGTCGGCTGTGTTCCTGAGTTATATGTGTAACCATTTGAGTTGCTTCCTGCGAGATACACATGGCCGTAGGCAGGTGTCTTAAACGTTTGTTGGCACGTCTAGGGCAGCCACAAGAGAAGCATCTTCTTAGTGCAATACCGTTGGACCAGTCTTTCCCCCGCAGGTCGATATTTTCTAGAGCCTTCTTGCCAAATGATTTGATGATTGCACATTTTCACCCTCCTTCGGCAGGTTCCTTTTGCGATAAGGTCATTCTATTGCCCACACTGATTGACGAGGGGTACATCATATATTTGTGAATGAATATCTAAGTTTTGTATTGGTTAAAAACACGAACTTCATATATACGAAAACAACGCTCTGTGTTGTAAACTATATTATTACATCACACTTATTGGGATGAATCTATTCAGGAAGAAAGGCACAAGGCTGCTGCTCTAAAAAATGCTTATGTACTAATGGGAAGGCATCAATGGGAGCTTGCTATAGCTTTTTTTCTCCTTGGTGATGATACTTCATCAGCAGTGAATGTTTGTGCAAAGAACCTTCAAGATGAACAGCTCGCCATCATAATTTGTCGGCTTGTTGAAGGATCTGGAGGGCCTCTGGAGCGTAATCTCATTTTTAATGTGCTACTTCCAGATGCAATTGAGAGAGGAGACAACTGGTTGTCAAGCCTGTTTGAGGTGTGTCATATACATGTGGCCTTTGTCTAATTGCCTTTCCATTTTGCTATGTTGAGAATCAGTATAAATTATTGTGGTTCCAAAGTTACAATCCTTCAACTTACCTTTATTTCATCTGAATCCTCAGTGGATGTTAGGGAGTTATTGCCAGTCTGTCAATAGACTATTTGGTTGCCATCCAAAGTTGCTGATTGATCAAAATGTGCTTGCAGACCCAGAAGTGGGTCATTACTGTGCAATTCTCTCGACAAAGAGTAGTTTCAGAAACTCTGTTGGTGAAGCTGTATCTGCAAAGTTATCTAAGCTTTCATTTGCAGTGGCTGCATGTGCCTTGAATAAGTGTGGACTACCTGTAAGTTTACCCTGTGCTGGCTGACTTCTTTTCGCTTGTCCACCCTGTGTATCTGCATATTTTGTATCTATTATTTTGCATGATTCTAATTGTTAAACTTTTTTCCCATTCATTAGCTTGAAGCACTTGAATGCCTATCTACTAACTCAAGCATAGATGGCAAGGATAGCATCATCTCACCTGGTGATGGAGACCACAAGATTTTTGATGGAATACTGGGCCCTTTCTCTGCTTCTAAGAATTGGCTATCTTCATCTGTCATTAGTGGTGTTGAGTCCAACCTTAAAGTAACTATGGCTTCAAAATATCTATCTAGCCTTCTGAGAAAGCACTCACTCTGTTCACAATGCAACGCACCATTATCTGAAGAAAAGGTCCTTAATGAGTACAACAATCATCAAATTGAAAAACTTACGCATGATATTACAACAGTAATCTCAATATTTGATAAAAGGTTCTCCCTCAAATTTGCTGATATAGCTGAGAAGGTAATGCTGGTAGATAACAGTTTCTTTTATTTTGATGATTTCTGATCAACTTTGAATGGTAGTTCATCCAAAAAATTCCCCTCTTTTGTTGCAGATCCTAATGTTTTGTAGCCATGAGGGTTTATTGTTTCTAGCGTATGTTTTGTTATGGGGTACTAGGTCACCAGATGCTGCAACTGATAATCGTATTGTTGAATGTCACCCTCTCTGCCCAATCGATTATCTGTTATTGTTTTCATTCAAAGAGAGCTGCAAGTTTCTTAGTCGATATGTTGTCTTCTCCTCCATGTGTTCTGTTCTGAATATGGAGCACACCAATTCTACTGCATGCGCACCTAAAGAGAGTCATAAGTACATTATAACAGGTTTGTCAAATTACCTGAACGTCAGCAGGTTACTTCTTAGACATGACAAAAGTGGAAATTATATTTTGGATGACAGGTCAGCTGTGCTGGCAGTTATGGATCTGTTTGAGTACATTATAGAGTTTTCCTTTTCTTGGTTGTATTGTGACATAAAAGCATTACTTATCATGATAAATCCAGTCCTAGCTGCTTCTTCTAATGGGGAGCCCTTTCAAGTACTATTAGATCAACTGATGCATGCTATACGCCACAAAAATGGTGATATATCATTGAATACAGAAGGAGGAATGCCCCGTTCTGCATTGAGTAAGACACAGCTAAAAAAGAGTGTGAATTCAAATCTTTTAGCAGATGAGAAGTGGCATTTGGTAGGCGCTTCTGTGTGGGTTCCGTTGATATCTGTGATTGAACATCATCTAAGGAAATTCTTTGAAAAAGAGGGACTTGAACATGAAGCTGGTGTTAGTGGTTCAGAATTCAGGGGTCTTATCACTTCTGTTGCTGCAAAGTTTGTTATGGATTCCATTCATTTTGTGTCATCTTCGTTAGTAACACTGCATGCATCTTTCTTGAGGAAGAAGTTACCGATGAATTCAAGTTCGAGTTTGCTCTTCTGGTTAGAGTCCAAGTTGTCTCAGCAACACCCAGTCAGTGGTAGCTATGATCACCTGTCGAGGATTTCGCAGCTTTCAAACAGTGAGAATATGGAGGCGTTGTTTAATATTTTGTGGGAAATATCTGTTAATCCTGTGGATGTTTGTAATGCCTTTGTGAATGAAGGAGTTAATTGTTTTTCCTTAAGCAGCATAAATGTCACTAGATCTTGGAAGGACATAAGATGCACTGTGGTTGAGTGTGATAAAGTTATTACTCAAAGAAGTGGAGAAGAACATGAACACAGACTTGGCTCCAAGAACAATGGGAAGGGACAGGGATTCGCTGACAAAGCCTCTTCTAGTGGTGAAGTGTTTTCTGAAACTAAAAGGAGAGAGTTGATCATACAAAAAGAGTTTCAGAGCCCAAGGGAAATTCTAAGGAGAAGCGGGGAGCTTCTTGAGGTATTTAATATAAGTCTATTGACCCTTTAAAGATCATTTACTGTTTAGGGTACACATTGCTTTCCTTTCTAGTGCTGCATTGTAACCTTTTCAGTGGCGCAGGCGATATGTCTTAACTCTGTCAATGAGAAACAAGCTGCTATTGCTACTAATCGAAAGGTATATTTTTAATCGCTTCAGTATGTCATAAGTCATCCTGAGTATCATCACATCTTGAATGAGAAATTTATACCTGCATTGGATCAAATATATTCTTTTATTTTCGTAATATATTAAACTTTGTTGTATTAATGCTCTTCAGTTTTGCTGGCTAAACCTCATTTCAAGAGCTGTCTTTGTACAGTGTGTGCTGTTTGTCTAGCAAGTCATTGCATATGGTTATGCTGCTACATTGTTAGTATTGTATACCAACTAAGGGCAACCTCTTTTCAGGGCCTTGTTTTCTTCAATTGGAGTGACAAGCAGCATGACAAGAATTTTTCAGAGTATGTCTGGTCAGGATCTGATTGGCCATTAGATGGTTGGGCTGGCTGTCAGTCTACACCTACTCCAACTTCTATCTCGTCTGGTGTTGGTCTTGGTCGGAAAAAAGGGTCACAACTTGGTTCAGGTGGAGCGACTATAGGTTTGGGTTCGTTAGCAAAACCCGGAAGAGACCTAACTGGTGGTGGAGCATTCGGAATTCCAGGCTATGCTGGTATTGGGGCCTCTGGGTTTGGGTGGGGTGAACCTGAAGAATTTGAGGATTTCATTGATTCTCCAGCAACAATTGAGAACATCCATTCAAGAGCGTTATCCCGCCATCCCTCATTACCATTGTTGCTTGTTGGTTCAAGCAATACACATGTGTATCTGTGGGAGGTATACATTTTCTACCTTACAACTCCTTTTGGATTGCATTGGCTTTTCTAAAGCACTTCTTTCCCCCTAGATTTGGAAGCAGTTTTTAAGCATCTTTTTAGGAGCCATAACATCAAACTTTACTGGAACCAGTAAAGATTCCCATAGCATGCTATATTTCATGAATGATTTCTACTATGGGACTGAGTTCATTTATTAGCATTGAACTATTTATAAGCTATATATACCCTATGTTTAAATATCCATTGATACCTTTAATTCTTTTAACTTTTCAGTTTGGTAAAGATAGTGCTATGGCTACATATGGTGTTCTACCTGCTGCTAATATTCCACCGCCTTATGCACTGGCCTCCATATCAGCTGTTCAATTTGATTATTATGGACAGCGGTTTGCCACTGCTGCATTAGATGGTACCGTTTGTACATGGCAAGTTGAAGTGGGTGGAAGAAGCAATGTCCATCCTACAGAGTCATCTATATGCTTTGACAGCCATGCCTCGTATGTGTACCAAACTCCATCGATGCAATGCAACAGCCAATAGCTGCTGCTTGATACAGATCTCATTGTCTTACAGATAAGTTCTTATTGGTTACAGGGACGTTGTGTTTGTGTCTGCAAGTGGATCAGTTGTTGCTTCTGCTGGATATAGTTCAAATGGTGCAAATGTTGTTATATGGGACACACTATCTCCACCAGCCACTTCTCAAACTTCTATCATGTGCCATGAAGGTAAGTCGTGAGCGTGAGCAGTGCTTTATTGTTTACTGTTTGACTATTGGGAATAATATATAATCATTATTCTTGAATAAGCAATTTAATATAATTAGTACAGGGTAAATCACTAAATGTATACGACTATAGCAGACACACCTTAGGATCTTGTTGCATATTAGGATATAGTAGGAAAATGATTATGATAGATTGTTTGCTGACTCTAGTGTTAACATGTTATATATATCACAAAAAGTCTTTACATGGGCAAAAAGAAAAAGTTTAACAATCCAGTTACCACTCTAGAAGGCACCAACTTGATGAGGTGTTGAGAACATTTAAGTCCCATTTGTTTTGAGCAGTTTCCATGGTTCATTGCTATTTGCAAATATGAAACAAGAGAATTGCAGGTGCCTCATTTTCTGCACTCTTCTGCAGTAGAACCCAAGTTGCTCTTCCGTTCCGTAATGTGACTGCACCTTGATGCAATATCCAAGGTTGTCACAGGCTCGCAGCATGGGGTCATGAGTCTGCACAAGTGTAAATGTTAGCAATTTAGCATCATAAATGTGATTTTGAAAAATTTCTAAGTCAGCAACTGTATATTTTAGTTGTCAATAACTGAATACTCATGTGTTGGTATGAATGCAAAGTGATCCACATCACATGTTTCTGAAAGAAACAGAATAAATTGGTTTTCTTTTCATACATAAATACATAATGTGAGCGAAGTCATTTCTTGTCGTTGAGTTTTATTTGTATATGTTGCCTGCAGGCCAATCGCTTGTTACCAAAATACATCTTGTTCTTTCTTCTTTCTCCCAAATAATACAGTGAAAGATAAAATGAACCCAAGCACGGAATGAACATGGCCACACAGCAATATAGGAAGAAAAGATAGTTATCCAGTAAAAAAGTGTCATTTTTGGGTTGGATGCAGCCATGTTATAACTTTGGCCATTGATATCTTTTTTATTATTGAATTCCAGTTGAACATTATACAGTATATTTATCTTGAAAATGATTTTCATAATGTGGCAAGTTCTCTGCTTATAAATATATTATAAAAACTTAACCCATGGGGCAAGACAGCCCACTAAGACATTGCATCTAAGGTCAACAAAAGGCACCAAAGGTCAGCCACCTAGGGGCTTTGTTTAAAGCGACTGTGAAGTCACCTAGGACCACTCTGAAAGCAACACACAACGAGGCACCTTTTTTTTTTGTGAGAACCAGGGTTCAAGCCTTGGTGGCAGCACTAACTGGGTTACTTTCCACCATGCTACAAGCACGTTCTCAATAGCCGAAACTGTATATTATGATGAAGTTATTGGTCAACCTTTCATTTTTAAGACCATGTCAATATCCGTATGTATTGTCTGTTCTTGAGTGCACATGCACTATTCTTCAACCCTGCCTACTGGAAGACTATGATATCACATGAATTTTCTTTTAAACATTGTTTAGATAGCCATGTTTACCAGTTCTGAATCCTTTTTGTTTTCTGCACTAGCCCCAGATCAAGTGGACATTTTCCAATTTACATGAGTAGCCCAGTAGGACTCAAATCTACACATGATTATACAAACATACTGCATAATATTAAATAGTCATGAATACATCTTATGACTTAGTTTGGGCAACATGGCCAAATTGTCATGAAGTTCAACAGTGGCATAGTATTACAGCAGCCTGACTAGGCTTGTGTCCTAGAGGTTTTTGGGAGGTGAATTTGAGTCCTACCCAGGTGGTTTTTGCCGTATTAGCAGCCATATCATCAGGTTTGCGCAATGTGTTGTCTTTTTGTATAGCATATAGTATATTTAGTTGACCATGGACTTCATCTTGCAGGAGGAGCTCGGTCTATTTCTGTGTTTGATAGTGATAGAGGCTGTGGGTCTATATCACCGCTTGTTGTAACTGGTGGGAAAAATGGAGATATAGCTTTGCATGATTGCCGCTTCCTTTCTACTGGAAAGTCCAAGCATCATAGAATTACCACTGAGCATGGTGCCAAGGCATCTGCCATGCATGACATCAAATCTAGTACTTTCGGTGGTACCAACAGTGGGATGGTCTGGCATATACCAAAGGCTCATCTAGGTAACTAAGTGATACTGCATCGTACTCTTCAGAATTGAAGTTGGTTTCTCTGTCTGATCTTTTATCGTCCATCTTCAGGTAGTGTCACAAAGGTATCGACCATCCCAAATACCAGCTTGTTCTTAACTGGAAGCAAAGATGGAGATGTGAAGCTTTGGGATGCTAAAAACTCCCAGCTAGTCTTTCACTGGACAAAGATGCATGAACGACACACCTTTTTCCAACCAACTTCCAGGGGCTTTGGCGGTGTTGTTAGAGTATGTAGTATTATAAAGACGATATAAAATGTTTAATGACTTCGTTCGTAAATTTTGGTCATGTTACGATAAGAGAAGATAGTTATATCACATGCTTCTCTTTTATTAACTATATACCTATGTGTTTGCAGGCTGCTGTAACAGACCTCCAGCTGTTGCCTAATGGTTTTGTTTCATGTGGGGGTGATGGTTCTGTGAAGCTGGTTCAGATAAAAGATGATCTCGCTGCAGCATATCAGCGTTAATACAAGCAAAGAGGGAAGAAGACATGCTAGAAGTTGTGATGGATGCAGTTGGTCACTTGATATCATTCTATTTTGTTTCGTCGATGAGACTTTTGAGATGCTTTACTCCTTTCAAGGATAGCATAGCAAGGACGGAGCTATGGTGTAAGATCAGAGACATCTAGGCAATTTGACATCAGCATTTGTACGTCGAGTTTTTATATGAGCTTGGTATGTGGCTAGTCATACTGCCTCAGTGATTGTTTTTGAGGCCATGAGTTTTTGCACTTTGTAAAAGGCATTGTGGACCATAAATCTTTGGAAATTTGTACAGTCAGTTATTTTGTTTTATTGGCCAGGATGTTGATGATGGAGGGTGTAAAGTTGTAAGCTAGAAGTAGGGAGATACCAAGCTACAATACTTTTTGTCACTTAATAGACAAGTGCTGGGTTTAGGGTTAATGTACAATGGCAGGGCAAATGGACCAAACAAAGATTGTATTTGGTAAGGGAGTATTTATGCGATTTGTCGAGTGGAGCATTGGCATTAATGTTGTCATATTCATATGAACTCTGTATAGTTATGTAGCTATAATATTTCAAGAAAATCTTGTAGTTTATACTTTCTACTCTCTGTTGCAATGCGTGAGAGGTAATTGCTTCTATTACACCTGATGTTTCGGTGTTACTTGTGTATTACCATCCTTGACTGTTACAGGTTTATCTGAGCATCTCTTACAGAAACAGGCAAGTGGGTGAGACATCTTGATGAAACTTCCCATCTTCAACTAGATACATGTAACCTTTAATCTATTTCTATACAATGACGATGTTTATATTGAGAACATAACACTTCGATGAAAACACTGATGTAGGAGTATGCAGAGATTGCGGTGCCATCAAACGCAGGGAGAAATCTTGTGGCTCAGTAATCGTCAAAATAACTCGGCAGTGGCTCATCTTTTCTGGACTTGTGCCTGCTGAGGATGGACTTGAGGAACTTCTTGCTCTTCTTGGGGGTATGCTCACCATCCTTTGAGTTGTTGCTCCTGTCAGCCTGTGACCTCAGTGGTGCCAATTTCTTGGGCTGTGAAGTGGCCTGCATTTTAAGCAGATGAAAATGTCTCGGCATAAGGATGAAGGTATCATTTCTTGGAAGACTCCATCACAAGCCCATGTAATTTACCTGAACCCTGACGCTTGATGTCTTGAGCAAGGATGCCTTCTTTGAGAGTGACGCAGACCTTGTCAGTGGAGTTGTCAAAGGAATTGGTGATTCTGATCGCTTATCTGCTTTTGCAGAAACAAATTTAAGGTTAAGCATGGGTCAACTTATCTTGATATACAACTGTAGGGGCAGATCAGGAGCCTCGTTCTAATAATCTCCTGTAACTGGACAGCTGGAATGAACTTATGAACTGCTCAGATGTTGATTATTCTACCTGTGTTGGTGGGTATAGCAGTCTTAGATGGTGCCATGGAATGTGCACGCTGTGCTGGTGATGCTGAACGTGCACGCTGCGAAGGCACTCGGGTAATTGATTGCACCTTTCTGCAAACAGTAAAAATTTCGATTGTCAACCTACCTGCGCAAAAGGAAAGAACGAGGGGGGAGGCAGTCCAAACTTTTGGTTGTGCATCCTGGACTGACCTGAATGAAGGCTGCTTCTCTTTAGCTTTTGTTTCTGCGGCTAGCACAATACATTTCAGGTCAATAGGAAGTTGACATATATGGTACTTCATAGGCCTATTAATTGAAGAAGTGGTGAAGACTTTCTACTAGATGTTATGGTGCATTCTTACCACTGAATACTTGATGTATCTGAGAAGCCCTGTTTGTGACCTTGTTCATTTCCCTGAAGTTGGGCACGGCACTGGGCATTGACTGGTCTCCAGCTGCAATTACCAAATGGATGTTAGATATCTTGCCAAAGTTAATGCCAAGACACTCCTTGCGTTCAGAATGTGCTGACAATTTTACAGTTGAGATACGAAACAAAGAATAGGATAGCTATACTCTTTTACCTGGCAAGATGTATCTCTTGTGATACTTAGGGGCAGTGATCACCAAGGATTGCTGTGAAAGGCCCTCTCTGTCCATATAGGCTTGGCTAACTTGAGTTCTCTGAAACCAATCGCTTCATCATTAATTCAAAGAGAGACGATTGGACTAATACAATTCCAGGATGAGAAGCCTTTGAAACCTGCTGGATGCAGGAGATCCGGAGATTGGCGTCGGCGACCTCATTGAACCTTTGATCGATTAGGCCGGAGACCTTGAAAGATATGGACCCCAGGTGGTCAACCGTGTTGACAAGGGCCTTCACGGCATACTCCTTGAGGTTCTTTGTCACCCTATGCAGATAAACATCCAGACCATCAGTAAATTCGGAGCAACATAAGCCAGAATGTATGGGAAAAGTTAACTGCAAGTGCATTCTGCTTGCAGTTTTGCTTGTTGATGATCTCGTGCGGGAAGCAGGAGGGAGGAGGGATATGCGTATGACATACGCCTGCTTTTTGTCTTCCTGCATGTACGCAAGTTCGAAGTACTCTGCCGCGGAGTACAGCTGCGACCTCAGTGTCTTGAGATCCTGCAATTGGAAAAGCAATGTGGCCTTGTTTTAAGTGGTCAGCAAGCAAGATATGTAGTAGTGTTTTTGGAAAAGCTGGAAGGGAAACGAAACGAGATGGAGAAGAAGAATGCAGCGAGGAACAGGAATCTGGTGCAAGGATGAGCTAACCTTGATGATTTCAGAGAAGGCGAGAGTCTCCTGCATCTGCACCTCCTCCAGCGTGCTGCTCATCCCCACAACACCGGGGCCTCTGCTCTCGAAGGACCCTACTGCTTCCACCATTGTCGCCAGCAAAGCCAACTCCTCTGTTGCTTTGCCTCTATTCCTGTTTCGCTCTTTGACCACAGAGCCAGATGGGGGGTGGAAGCCTGGAGCAAGCACGAAGAATGTTTGGACGATACTGACGAAGAAGGCGAGAAGCAATGATGCGGTGGAACTCAACGCCGTGCTGGGAAGAAGACCACGGCGGAAGAAGAAGAAGAAGGTGCGCATGTCATGAACACGACTGCACGACAGATATTTAACTAGTACTAGGAGCAGTTGTGGTGATGCTCCGGCAGCGGCAGCAACAGGTACATATGATATAATAACGCAAGTTAAGGCAAAGCCAATGTTACAAGTGATGACTGCTGCAACTACTTATCTATTGCAAGGTGTTTTGGTGACCTGGTGAATGAACGGCAGACATGGTAAATCGGATGGCCTTACTCCTCTGAGTACTTGCTTAGTTACTCAGTCCCCCACATTACGCCGGTAATCACTCCCAGCGTAGGAGTACTATCATCAGCTCATCAAGTCGAGTGATCCCTACATCCACTGCCACCAACAGCCACAAAGCCTGATGGTGATAGGTAGTACAGCAGGGTGAAGTGAAGCTGGTAGTGCTGGGCACTGTTTTACAGCAGTGTTTAGTTGGTTAAGAAGTCAGGATGGATGGGTCTCACACCGACTGCGGTGCAGCAGATCAAAAGCTCCCAAGGATGAGATGAGGTTTCGTTCATTGGGATGCTGAACTGAACATTTCTTTCTTACCTTTCTTCTCTTTCTATCCCTGTGCTGTGCTGTGCTGTGCATGGCCATCATTTCTGCCCATGCATATGGACCCACCTTACCTTATGGGGTTTCTTTCCATTTTTTTTGAGGGAAAAATGAAAACCCAACCTCCTTATGAATCATCACACCTCGCTTCCATCATAAGCACTCAATCAATATGTTTGTTGTTTTTTAATTAAAATAATTGCTACTTCTTTTATTATCACTTGATGACACAGGTTAACTAGTACAATTAAATCTTGTCTAGGACTACAATATTTGTGTACCAACAAAAGATCTGCTCATCCGTACAATTTAGGAAAGAGTTGTAAGACAGAAAAAAAACCTTGGGAACAATGTGTCATCACGCTGGGATTAACAAATATCTCTCATGTTTGGGACGTGATTAGCTTTAAGCAAAGTGAAAAAAAAACCTAAAGCATTGTGTCGTCCTCTGTATCCCATTCCCATCCCACATTCCCACCCCATGACACAAGTCCTATGATCGATCTTCCCATGCTTTTCTCCAATTCTTTTTTGTCCTTTTTCTTTCCTCTGTTTCAGATGATGTGTGTCTGGAATCTGGATCATGTGTGCGCGCGAGATGGGTCTGCCAGCCCAATATATTCAACTGCAGTTCAAATTGACGCACATCGCGGCGGACCGGCTTGCTGGATACACGGATAGACTGAGAGATCCGTGAGGTCACAGTCAGTTCGGGCCGGCGCGTTCCTTTTGTCAGGTGTCAAAAAGTCCTAGCCTCTCCCATCCTAGCTAATGGCTATCTGCACGATTTCTACTTTTAAATATCTTGAGATGTCCCATAATTCATAGCTAGAGTAAGTCGCTCCCACGATGGCTCCAGCGCCAGTCATACATGTACTTTTTTCTTTTATACATAATATGTTGTCTTTAAAAAACGTACTACTCTTGTAGTATTGTTGTTTCTGGCTTTTGCCGTGAAGGCTACTGTAAAGTGGAAACTAGCGAGCCGACAATTACCCTTTTCAGTGCAAAATTTGAGAATGACTTTGGTTTGTTTATGCTAACGCCTGTTCATGTGAATAATATCCATGTGGCAGACGTTTTGTTGTTCTAGCAAATGCACCTAGTTTCTGCGCTAAAAGTGAATTTTCACATCGCATAGAGCTTCTTTCCCCCCGCGTCAAAGTGTAACCTTGGTTCGGCTGCCTACTTCTCACTTGAACCGCGGATTATATTTGGGTTATTTTCTGGTGGTAAGAAACTGATATACACATTAAAATAAAAAGGAAAAAATGTGAAATACCGTCAAGAAGAAATGATAAAAAAAAGAAATGAGATCCAAGTAGGGTGATAGGTCTTGTCCCGACTTTATCTGACGTTGGTGGGCAAATTCTAGTGTTTGCTAGTGGAGTATGTTATAGCCGAAAAAACTCTACTCTCTCCTTTCCCTCGCCTCACTTTTGAGAACGACATGGCTAACGCCTAGACATCTGGGCAGACGTTTCCGTCTAGATGCCGGTGCCTGCTGCTCCATTTCACGCGCGCATGCGGGAATCTCTGTTCCTCTCCGCCCGGAGACCGCGCGCCCCCTATGCTTACCGCGACCGCATGTACTCCGCATCTCGCGCCTAGGACCCCACGCCCTGCCTCCATGCCCTTCCGCTTCCCACTCACATGCACGACACCCCAACAGCCGCAGCAGACGGATCCCATTGCAACATGTTCAGCACCAGATCTACTTTTGCAGTGTCTAGATAAAACACTTGCAACATATGTTCGAAATTGCTGAAACACATGCAACATACATCTGAAACACTTGCAAAACATAGCCATTGCAAAACACCTGATAGCCATTGCAAAACATATGCAACATCCAGTCAAAACACCTGCAACATACGTATGAAACACCTGAAATACTTGAAACATGCGTCTAAAACACCTAAAACACTTGAAAACATACACTTGCAACATGTGTATATTGTCATTGCAACCTATGCAACATCTCAGATATACTTTTGCAACATCTAAATAAAAAACATGAAACATAAGTTTAGAACGTCTGAAACACTTGAAACATGACGTCGCCAGCGGCCACGACCTACCTGGTGGGGAACTACGGTAGCCAGCAAACTCGAGTTAGGGGATGTTGGCCCAGCGTACACCTCGACCCGTCGCTCCTCCTAAAATTCTCCCGCGCTTGCTCGTTGCCTAGTCTCTGGCCCGGACGGCTTCTCAGCGCCGCTGCTGCTCGGCCACAGTCGTCCAGCGCCATTCACTCGTGGGAGATGGGGCACCCCACGGCTACCGATGGGGTGCGGCGCGGTGGGGGGAGGGCACGGCGCAGTGGGGACGGTTGCATGGTGGGGGAAAGGGGTGCGGCGAGGCGGAGTGTGGCGGGCGTATGCATGGTGACCACGACACCAATGCGAGTGCGAGTGGGAAAATTTTCTAGGATAGAAGAGACGTATAGGTGCTGTTGAGCCTATCCGTTGACGCAGGCCTAGGAAGGCACGTGCCCGGATAGGATGGACGACCGTGTGCAAGCATTTGCGTTCTGAGAAGGCAGTTTGCGGCACTAGAAGCGTGAAGAAACATGCCAAAAGCACGTCAGGTTCACCATCCTTCTATCACAACGCTAGTGGCGCCTACTACCGAAGAAGCTAACAAAAGAGATGGCGGAAGAAGGTTGGAAAATGAAGAAGCAGATGCAGACCCGGCGCCCCCTGCCAAGCGGATGATTCAGCCCAACAAGCGCTATGCCAACCCAGGATGGATGACCCACTTGCCAAGGAGTCGTGCGGAATCTGAGAACTTAACCAAGGACGAATAAAGGAGAAGGAACTGGACGGCTGTGTCCAGAGAAGGTTGAGGTGAGCTGAGCTCATTGTTATCCCCAAATCCGTAGATACTTGATACTAATACAATCATGATAGAGAGATATCGTATCAATTGTTATCAGAGGTCAATCGATCGGTGGGCACGACGGCGGTGACTCTCGTCGTCGTATTTAAGATGGCAGCGCAGCCTGACGGTGACTTCTTTCTCCTCTTCCTCACCAATCCACACCGGTGATGGTCCGTGACTATCTCCTCCGACCTTAGTACCTGACGCGGGATCAGAAGCGGATCGGCAACCTGGAGGCTTAGATCGAGGAATTGGCAGTGCTGATGAAGGAACTCTAGGCTCAGAACACCTCCATCAAGCGCACCCTCAACGATAACCTCTCCACGTTCAAGGATGTGGACGTCTGGCGGTCCCAAATCAACTTTAAGGTGGACGAGCTTCATCAATCCGTCCTGGACCTATGTCTAAAGGTGGATCAACTCTCATCACAACAGGAGGACTTTGATCCAGCAAAGCACACCTTCGACACCGAGTACATCGACTTGATGAAGCTGACGGCTGCTCATCTGGCTGTGACCTCGTCCGAGGTGGCTTCAAGGCCTTTTGGACACGGTGCGACACACGCTCACCGGGGTCCTGTCAACAGGGTGGTCACCACCATCGTGCCAAACCCGGTCAAAGGAGCGACACCATTCGCTAATGTGTCATCTAGCAGTTATGATTCTCATTCGCAGTTTCAAATGAATTAGGCCATTCCTCAATAGAATTTCCCAAGTTTGATGGAATGAGCCCAAAATTATGGCAGCAACATCATGAATCATATTTTGATATCTCTTTTGTTCCTCCTAACATGTGGGTCAAATTAGATGTAATGAACTTTGTGGGTTCCATAGTCTTTTGGTCTCAGTCTGTAGAATCCATCCTTGAGCGGTCCTCTTGGCTTGATCTTTGCTCTGCCATCTATAGCCGCTTTGAGCATGACCAACAGAACTGCCTCAATCGTCAGTTCTTCCATCTCAAACAATTCGATGATCTGATTATATTGAGCAAACAATCACAGTTTCTGCTTATATTGAGCAATTCGATGATCTAATTCATCATATTTTGGCCCATGACCCTTATTTCAGTCCTCATGTCATTACTAGTCATTTTGTGAATGGTTTAAAAGAGGACATTTGTGTTGTTGTTTTATTCCACAGACCCTCTAGTTTGGATGTTGCTTATTCTGTTGCCCTTTTTGCAGAAAGAGGTGTTGCTCGAAGTGCATCCTCCAAGACCAAGACTATGATTTAGTCTCCTCTACAAACAACAACAACCCCTATAACAACTCCCTCAATGTCATAGAGATATGTGGAAGCGGTGAAATAATTGGGCTTGGAAGAGAAGTTGCACGATCTCAAAGCTTATAGAAAAGCCAAAGGCTTATATATGCTTCAAATGTGGTGATAGTTGGGGCCCAACCATGAGTGCTCTGCTATTGTTTCTCTAAACTTGGTGAAAGAATTGTGGCAACTATTGACTAAAGAAGAAGCTCATTCTCCCTGGTGCACGCCACTTGCATATGATCCAGTGCCCAAGCACAGAATTAGTCCGGTGATGCATCAAACACGCCTCTATTGGTATTTGTTATG